TTGAATTCTGTCTGAAAGGCTGCATATCTCTGTTTCCCCTGATTGATCCCTGGTGTCTTCTTTAGTTTTTTTGGTGACGTCATGTTACGTCATGTTTTCCTGGATGGTGTTGATTCTAATAGATGTCCTTTAGTGTCTGAGCATAGAAGAGTTAGGTATTTATTGTTGTCTTCACCATCTGGGCTTATTTGTACCTGTCCTTTTTGGGAAGGCTTTTCAGACATTCAAAAGGACTTGAGTGTTGTAATCTAAGCTGTATCTGCTTTAGGGGCACCCCAAGACCAGTAATGCTGTGGTTCTTAGGGACTCATAGAGGTTCTACCTTGATGGTCTTGGATAAAATCTGGGAGAATTCCCTGGATTACCAGGCAGAGAATCTTGTTCTTTTCCCTCACTTTCTCCCAAACTAAGGGATTCTCCCTCTCTCTGTTCTGAGCCACCTAAACCTGGGGGTGGAGTGGCACAAGCGTGCCTGTGGCCACCACCACTATGACTGTGCTAGGTCATACCTGAAGCCAGCACAGCACTGGGTCTCACCCAAGGCCTGCTGTAACCACTCCCTGATTACTGCCTATGTTCACTTAATGCCCTGGGGCTCTACAATCAGCAGATGGCAAAGCCAGCCAGGTGCCAAGTTCTTCTAGACCCTGGGTGGTTCCAGAGGTGCTGTCTGGGAGTCAGGGACTAGGGTGGTAAACCTTAGAACTCTAGCTGGTATTCTGTTGTACTGTGGCTGAGCTGGCATTCAAACCACAAGACTCAGTCCTCCCCACTCTTCCCTCCCCTTTCCAAAGGCAGAGGAGCCTCACCCTGTAGCCACCACCATCACAAGCCATAGGGAGTACTGCCAGACTAGCTAATGTTCCTTTAAGGTCCAAGTACTCATAAGTCAGCTTGTGGTGAATGCTGCCTGGCCTAGGACTCACCCTTCAGGGCAGTGGGCTCCCTTCTGGCCCAGGACAGGTCCAGAGATGCCATTCAAGAGTCGAGTCCTGGAATCAGGGACCTCAGGAGCCTACTTAGCGCTCTATTCCCCTGTGCCCTTGCTGGTACCTAAGGTGGAAGACAAAGTCCCCTTTACTTTTCCCTCTGCTTTTCTCAAGTAGGAGTTTCAGCCAATAACCACCACAGCTAGTAATGTGCTGAATCTCACCTGAAGCCAGCAAGTCTCAGAGGGTCATCAAAAGCCCTCGACATAGTAACTTGGTTTCACTGCTGGTTATTCAGAGCCTGAGGGCTTTTCACTTAGCAGGTAAAGAATGATGCTAGGACTGGGTTCTTCCTTTCAAGGCAGTGGGTTCCCTTCTGGCCCAGAGGTTGTCTAGAAATGTCATCCAAGAGCTAGGGCCTGAAACAGGGGTCTTGCAACTCTGACTGGTGTCCTATCTGCTGTGGCTGACCTGGTATCCAAGATGCAAAACAAGTCCTTCTCTCTCTTCCCTCCCCTCTCCTTAAGCAAAAGGAAGGTGTCTCTTTTGGAGCTGTGAGCTGTGCAGCCTGGGGTTAGGGGAGGGGTGATGCCAGCACTCCCGTAGCCACCCCAGCTGGTGTTTTAGTAGGTCACATGCCCCTCCCAGTCCACTGTCTCTGGGCCTGGTTCAACGCTAGGACTTACCTAAGATTTGCCATCGTTATGGCCTAGACTGCCTTTCAAGTTTACTTAGAAACACATAGCACTGTAGCCGTTGGTGATGAGGTTTGCAGGAACTCAAGTTTCGACAATTGGGATTGGCAATTTCCCTCTGGTTAGGGCTGATTTAAATGCTCCCTCCATGGGTAGGCGCCAGCAGAGTTTGGTCCAGTTTCCTTTCTGCACTAATGGGATGGCACTGAGTTCAGTGCCTCACAATTGCTGTGTTCTCCCTCCCACAGCACCCAGAGACGCTCTCCGCATCATGCTGCTGCTGCCGAGGGTCACATTAGAGATTCAAAACTGTTTTACTCACCTCTCCAGCGTGCCTTTCAGTGATACAAACTTAACAGCAGGTCCTATGAGGACTCCCCTGATTTTTGTTTTTTGTAAAGGTGTTTTTTTGTGTGTGTTAGATAGTTGTTAAATTGGTGTCCTTGGGTGGGGAGGGGAAACTGGTATTCTATTCCACCATCTCGCTATACCTTCTATCTTTTGTTTATACTCAAGGAATACATTGTTATAACTTTTATAAAATCAGTGGTCATTTATATTTTCCAGGTATTTACCTCTTCTCTTCGATCCTTCTTGTGTTTCAGACTTTCCATCTGCGATCACTTTTTTTAATGCCTGAAGTTTATTCTTTAGAATTCTTTCTTCCTTCTCCCTTTCAGTCTGCACTACTTTTTTTTTTTTTTTTTTTTTTTTTTTTTTTAGTGATTGATGTGGTTTGATTTGATCGCTGTAAGCAAGTGGAAGCATGCTATTAAAGGATGTTTCTTGCCCTTGTTCACAAAGCCTTATTATGAGAGGTTTACATATACCCATTTAAAATGTAAATCTAAGCATGCTTCTTTTAAGATGCATTATGTGCTGTATTCTCTTGGTGAGTAAAACAAAATGAGAATGGCAAGAGGAAGGCTAGAGAGCTAAGAGTGGGCCATCCCATGTAGGGCTTGACAGCTATAATAAATAAAAAAAAATCTAGACTTTATCCTAAGAACAACAGAGTCATTGAAGAGTTTCAAGCATAAAAGTGTCATTACTACATTTATGTTTTAGAAATATTACTTTGGCTGCTATATGCAGAATAGTGTAGATAAGGGCCAATGGTGAATACTAGAAGAGCAGATAGTAGACTGTTGAAGGAATACAGGCAGTTAACGAAATAGGGAGAATGAGTGAATTTAATGATACTTGGTGGGTGAATCCTTAGAGCTTCATGACTGACGGTGACTTGTTTTTGGGAGTAAAAGACAGGCTAGAGTTAAGGACAAAGCCTAGGCTTCTGGCTAGGAAAACTAGGTGGGTGATGTTATCACTCACTAATATGGGGAACAAAGAAGAGAAGCAGATTTGGAAGACAGAATGATAAGTTTCATTTTGTGCATGTTTAATGTGAGATACTTTTGAAACTTGTGACAATCAAGAGAATGTCTCACCATGGATGGTGGCTCACGCCTATAATCCCAGCACTTTGGGAGTCTGAGGCAGGTAGATCATCTGAGGTCAGGAGCTCAAGACCAGCCTTGCCAACATGGTGAAACCCCATCTCTAGTAAAAATACAAAGATTAGCCAGGCGTGGTAGTGTGCACCTGTAATCCCAGCTACTCGGGAGGCCGAGGCTGGAGAATTGCTTTAACTAGGGAGGCGGAGGTTACAGTGAGCCAAGATCAGGCCTCTGCACTCCAGCCTGGTGATAAGAGTGAGGCTCCATCTTAAAAAAAAAAAAAAAAAAAGCTGAGTGCGAGGTGGCTCACCCCTGTAATCCCAGCACTTTGGGAAGCCAAGGTGGGCAGATCACAAGGTCAGGAGTTCGAGACCAGCCTGACCAACATGCTGAAACCCTGTCTCTACTAAAAATACAAAAAGTAGCCAGGCGTGGTGGCGTGTGCTTGTAATCTCAGCTACTCAGGAGGCCGAGGCAGGAGAATCACTTGAACCCAGGAGGTGGAGGTTGCAGTGAGCCAAGATCGCGCCGCTGCACTCCAGCCTGGGCAACAAGAGCAAAACTCTGTCTCAGAAAAAAAACAAAAACAAAAAACAGCGAGAGAGAGAATGTCTCCTCTGCTACTTCTTTGTCTCAGGAAAATGCAAAAGTTGTAGGCTTTTCTATAGACTACCACTGAAATGACTAATTTTTTTAAAGGGAGAGGGGAGATGATACATAAAACGTCAAGAACAGAAACCAGTTCTTCTCTATCCCTTTCTCTGACTTCTCTACATTTGGCTGCCTATTAGATGTGGTCTTATTTTCTGCCTTACAAAGTGTGGTTATATGTAGATAATTAAATTTAGCTTATAGACAATTCAATTTAGCTTCTTTTTTTGACCAAACAAATATGGTGGGGTTGGCAACCTCTTAGATGACCTCCAATGATCTCTATCCACTACAGATTTACACCCTTGTCTATAATCTCCCTTTTTTTTTATTTGAATATGAGCTGAACATTTCAAGTCACTTCTTTTTAATTTTTTTTTTTTTTTTTAGTTATACTTTATGTTCTAGGGTACATGTGCACAATGTGCAGGTTTGTTACATATGTATACATGTGCCATATTCTCACTTTTTAAAAACAGTATATGGCAGAAATGATATGGTGGCACATCTGAGGTTATAAAAAAAAAAAACTGTGACATGGCTCACGCCTGTAATCCCAGCACTTTGGGAGGCTGAAGCGGGTGGATCACCAGAGGTCAGGAGTTCAAGACCAGCCTGGCCAACATGGTGAAACACCATCTCTACTAAAAATACAAAAAAAAATTAGTTAGGCATGGTGGCACACACCTGTGGTCCCAGCTACTCAGGAGGCTAAAACAGGAGAATCACTTGAACTTGGGAGACGGAGGCTGCAGTGAGCCAAGACTGCACCATTGCACTCCAGCCTGTGACAAAGCCAGACGCCGTCTCAAAACAACAACAACAACAACAAACTGTGGCTTCTGTTTTGGGTGCGGAATCTCATGCTCTTTCTTGGATGTCTTTAAATGCGGGGAAGCCAGCTTCCATGTCATAAGGAAGCCCTGTGGAAAGGCACAAGTGGCAAAGATCTGAGGCTTGACAACAGCCAGGTGAGAGAGCTTGAGAGTAGATCCTCTTTCAGTTGAGCCTTAAGGTTACTGCAGCCCAGGCTGACATGTTGACTGCAGTTACATGAGAGACTGTGAACCAGAATCACCCAGTCAAGCTGCTCCTAGATTCCTGACCCACAAAAACCAGGAGATAATAAATGTTTGTTGTCCTCAGCCACTAAATTTTGGAGTAATATTTTATGCAGCAGTAGATAATTAATATACACCTGGCTTGGTGCATTAATCAGGGTAATCAGGCTGGGTCATGAAAGGAGTGTTTGATATATAGGAATATTGTGATTCAGATAATAAACTGTTTTATTTATTGAAGAGTAAAATAGTACATTAACAAAATCTTATCTGATAGAGAGATAATACCAGAAGTCTTCTTACTGTGATTATCAGCTAAGTTACTGGTTGAAGTTAGGATGTAAATCACTGGATAGTTTTTGTCTGGAAAGATTTAGAACACATCAATAAGGCCCTCTAATAAAGAAATTGAAATGAGATCTTGCCCTTTGGAGAAAGAGAACTGTGTAATTCCTGTAACCAGGGCTCTTAGTCAAAGAGAAACAGAAGGTTGCCACAATGGTCCAGTGAGCCTGGCCCCAGAATTCCCTTCAACTTGTCTCTTGCTTGACGTTGGGGAGAAGACTGGGCATGATTTAGAGGCTGGAGACTAATTCGACAATGGGAAGATGCAAAAATTCATATCCTGGGTTCACCTTTTGATGTTGGGCCATTAGATCCAGTTTCTCTTTGCCTCTCATGTCTCAAAAATGCTCAGATATTAGTTTCACCACTTTGAGAGACATGGTTGCTGCCATCAGTGGGTGAAAGATTGTCTTGCTGCCTGAGGTGGGATGTGCATGGCCAACACCCATTTCTCTGGTTGTATAAGACAGGGACCTAAAAAGGGACAGGCTGGGAGGAGGATCATCCAGCAGGTGATCATTTAGGACTTCATGCTATAAATGGTTTTGCATTTCCAGAGATGAAACAAGTCTCTTCACCACAGGACAATTGCAGATCATAGCCCTATGCTCTGACTGGTTTTATCAATCTGGCAGTTCAGGGTCAGTGCAAAGGACATCCCCAACACCTGTGAAAAGAGTTGGGAAAATTTGAAGTCCTCATAAGAAAAGCCATTTCTTTCACAATTCCTGGGATTGGCCTCTGAGAAAAAGAATGTATCCATTACACTGAAACCACCCTTCCCACCATTACTTTCAAGTCTTTCCTTTAGTTAAAGAATAGCAGTGGGGAGAGAAACGGGGTCAATGATGACAAGATAATAGGCTGTAAAGTACTGGAGCATGTTTTATCTTCTGAGGAAGTCACAGAAGCCCTGCTACTAGGATGGTCATATTCTGCTCACTGAACACTGTGCAATGACTTATCTCTGTCCATGCTCTGTGCCTCCTTTGTTTCCAAGCAGAGAAAAGTCATTTTCTCTGAGCTTCCTGTTTGAGTTTTAACTAATCTATGATATACCCAACACTTGGGTGGAAAAATGTTAGAAATATCACATTATTTTTGTCCTTTTTTGTTAAAAAGGACAAAAAACTACCCTCAATTCACCCATCACTTGTCAAACTAAGCACAGAAACAAAGAGGAAATTGATTACAATTTTCATCATCAGCCCCTTAACATGCAAGATCAGGTTTTCAAATGAAATACTTTATCAATTCGTCTTTTTCAGACCAGCTGAGGAAGGATCAAAGTGGGATTCTGCTTGTTGGCTTTCTGTTTGACTGTGAATCATGTGAATCACCCATATCTCTGAGGAATAAATTGACCAGGAGATGTTCTTTTTTTTTTTTTTTTTTTGAGATGGAGTCTCGCTCTGTCGCCCAGGCTGGAGTGCAGTGGCATGATCTCAGCTCACTGCAAGCTCCGCCTCCGGGGTTCACCTCATTCACCTGCCTCAGCCTCTGCCTCCGGAGTAGCTGGGACTACAGGCACCCACTACCACGCCCGGCTAACTTTTTGTATTCTTAGTAGAGACGGCGTTTCACCATGTTAGCCAGGATGGTCTCGATCTCTTGACCTCGTGATCTGCCCGCCTCGGCCTCCCAAAAGTGCTGGGATTACAGGCGTGAGCCACCACGCCCTGCCGAGAGATGTTCTTACAGCACATTTTCTATATACCTTAAAGTAAATTGTTAATTACATTATTTGCTACTTGGCTGGGGGAATTCAGATACTAGTAAAATAGCTAACATTTATTGTGTAAATACTGTGTACCTGGTACTATTCTGAAACCTTACCTGACTTAACTCATGTAATCCTCACAGTAACCCTGTGATTAAGCGCTTACCTCAATCACACATACACAGATGGTGATGATTCCGATATACAGGAAATTGGAATGAAACCACAGTCTTGCTTTCGCGTAGCAACCCTAGAAAACATTTCAGTTACAAATGATGCCACTCTAAACATTTCAGTTACAAATTGCACCATATCAAGAGGATTATTTGGAAGATACAGTGCTTTGCATTTTGCTTTATGTAATACAAAGAGACTTAGGTATTATATTTTTATCTTCTTTGCATGAATGAAGAAACAGGCATAAGGTGGGAAATATTAAACTAGAGACTTTTCTGGTGTTGTTATCATTACAGTGGTACCTAATGTAGAAGTCCTAGATCCTTACCCACTGAGTTAAACTAGCTTCTAAGAGGCAGGTCAGCAACCAACATCCTACTGTCTTTGAACACTCAGTGCTGATCAGAGATTAACATACGGCATGCAATACTAAAATTGGTTTGCATTTCACTTTCTGCTTCAACATTCAGTAAATCCATCATAGCCCTACCAAGCACCAGGGCAGCTGCTGGTCAGTGCGTGTCCTAGTCTTTCTCCACAAACCTGAAAAATCCTGGAGATTTCCAAACCCCTTCAGGAGCAGATAACAGGAGGAGACAAGACCTCAGGGATTTGGTCTAGTTGGAAGATAGTTATGGCTTCTTCTCAGAGCCTATTCTGGAGATCCAAATTAATTGGACAGGTTGTTTCAATAGTTCCACTAACTCTGTCTCCCTCAACTCCTTACTCCTTCACTTATGATTCATTTCCCTAAGGGGCTAGATTCTGCCATCTCCAAGGAAGAAGAGCAGAGAAAGAGGGAGAGGGGGAAACTTTTCTATCTTGACCCTATTCATTTCACTTTTAACCATAAGGAGACCTACTTCTTGCTTAAGAAATATCTAGACACAACCCTCTGCTACTTTCACAAAAACTGTTCCCCTCTAATGTAATAGTCTAGTGTAGCAAGATCAATCATAGTCTCTAGTCTAAATGATTTTGTTCCTATGTTTTTCTGACTTTTCTAATTACCCAAGGTTGTTGCCTTGGCCTCTCTTTTATTCAAGGTCCCCTGTTTCTCGATAAAAGGTCTAGGTCTTCTATGACTGCAGTTTCCAAGGTAATTAAACATTTAAACAAAGAGGTCAATAACAGAAACATTGCTAACAAAATTACCTCCACATTTGGATCTGAGGGGCAAGATGCTGGTGGGCCACTGGTCCAATCACTCGTGCCATTTATACCACAGCACCGGAGCTAAAAGCCAAACCCCCAAAATGATGATGGTTAGAAAGTCGACAGTGAAAAAAAGCTGTGGACCTTAGAGGAAATGGTGGGCCCTTCAGAACTGACTCTATAGCAGAAGTCCAGAATTGGTCTGATTACCATGGGCTCCTTGAAACAAAGTGCTTTCTAATCTGTTATACCATTTCATTCCCATAAGATCCCTGTGGAGTAGAGACCCCTGTGCTTAATCTAGTCACATTTTATAGATCAAGAATAAGGCACCCAGGGACTGCATAATGGAGGGATTAGGCTGACCACCCTTGGACTCACCAGACAGTCTTAAGATCACAGAAAGTAGGACCATCAAACATGATGTACCTGCTTACATGATGCAATAGGAAGTGACAGCTATTGCAATCTTATCACAAAACAAAAACCACATCAAACTTTTAAGTTCACGGGGCTTACGGGAGACAGAGACTCCCTGATACCAAAATACTCGAGGAAGCAACTAGCCAGATCTAGAGAGTGGAGAAGTCTAAAGAACAAACAGCCTAATTTCTTTCCACAAAAAGCAAGAACAAAGAGGGGCACTATTATAGATTAAAAGATAAATAGAGAGACCTATCATTCAAATATAAACACATAGGCCTTGTTAAGATCTTGATTTGAACAAGTCAATTAAAATTTTTTGAGAAAATTAGGGAAATTTAATTATATACTTTATTAGTGGTATTAAGAAATTACAAAATTTTAGGTGTATTAAAAAGAAGTTCTTTTATATTTAGTGGGTGAAATAATATATTGTCGCCGGGCGCGGTGGCTCACGCCTGTAATCTCAGCACTTTGGGAGGTCGAGGCGGGCGGATCACAAGGTCAGGAGATCGAGACCACGGTGAAACCCCGTCTCTACTAAAAATACAAAAAATTAGCCGGGCGTGGTGGTGGGCGCCTGTAGTCCCAGCTACTCAGGAGGCTGAGGCAGGAGAATGGTGTGAACCCGAGAAGCGGAGCTTGCAGTGAGCCGAGATCACGCCACTGCACTCCAGCCTGGGCGACAGAGCGAGACTCCGTCTCAAAAAAAAAAAAAATAATAATAATAATAATATATTGTCTAGTATTTGTTTTAACATATTCTAGCAAAAAAAGTGTGGGGAATTAGAGGAGATGACACTGGAAAATATTAACTATTGAAGAGTTGAGAGATTCATTTTTCTGTTTTTCTCTTTACTTTCGCATATTTCTAAAAATTATATAATTAAAAGTTTTCTAAACTGAATTGAAAAAATAAAGAATTGGAGATCTAAAGAAGTTAGGGGACTTCCCCAAGGCTACCCAATTGTGGTCTCCAGGTTCTAATTCCTGTGCCATTTCTTCTACTCCACACTAAGCCAGCGTGCAGTCATAGTGGTACTGTTTTGAGACACAAATCGTTTATACCGGTGCAAGGCTCCATCTTTATCTCCCAACACATCACGTCAGGAACGCAGAGCTTGTATATGCTGTACATATACATATACATGTTTGTGGGTGGAAACAGCGCATGAGGAATGGGGTGTTGGTGGGCTATGTAACAAGCCTGATTTGGGCAACTCAGGAATTCAATGGCAATTTCTTGTGTTATACAATGCTGTTTTCAGTAAAATTTTGGAAAATACATAAACTAATCCAGTTTGCTGTGTTTGGGTCTTCTTCACATCCTAGTAGAACTTAGATAATAAACCTATTCATGTTAGAAAAGGATGAAAGAGAGAATGTAGAGAACTTTGTACTAATCAGACTAATTACTGGGCTCCCATATTTGTGATAGCCAAGGCATTATTCTGGGATTCAGCAGTGTGGACCTTAGATTCTGAAACTTCCAGAAAAAGGAACTAGCCCCCAGGGTTTTAGACTTGAACATGAAGTCTGAGCTGATCTGAAGGGGATTCCACTTGTACTCACAAATGACTGGATGGAGTCCCACGCTGCCTTGGTGCTATTGTCTGAGTGGTAACGGTGGATGCTGTCGGTCAGACCCTTAGCCACATACTCATTCAGCTGGGCAGGCACATTCCAGCAGAGGAGACATGGTAAAAAGCAGGTGAGTGCAAGGAATAAGGAATTTCCAGTATAGGTTAGTGGTTCCACTTGCTCTTCCCTTCCAAATGGTCTCCTCAGAACTAAGGGTGAGGGGAGGCTGTTTATCTATGGGCATACATGCTGAGCATGAGATGACATTGAAGGAAGAAGTATTTAGTAGGCTTGCTTCCTTCTAGAGCTCTGGCTTTACAAGGGAGGAAAAGGGGCAATTAAAGCAAGGACTATCCTTAGGCACTGAGGCAGACATTCTCTCCTGCCAAACATACAGAGGAAAGCAAGTAGAGGAAGAGACACTTGTTTTATTGTTCTTTCCAGGCACCCCTCAAGATACCACTCAGATACAATCTCTTTCATACAAATTTTTTCTGCCCCCAATTACAATTACTCTCTCTTTCCTCTATCCTTCCATTTCATTTCTATCTCTATTATAGGACTTATTTTGTAATTTTGTAACAACTTCTCCACTGCATACTCCCCACTGTCAGTATTAAGACAATGAGTTGTGCTCTTTATAACTTACCTTCTGTTCATATACAAAGAGCAGGATGGCCAAGGTCACCTCGGCAAGGAGGATAATCAGCAGCAGGATGAAGAACTGGGACAAACAAAGCAGATACATTCTCACAGCACTGATCCCCATTCTCGTCCCACTCCCACTCAGCTCTGGGAGCATCCAGGATTGTTTGCACATGTGCAGGATGTTCCTGTTCTGCCTCCTCAGGCCTTTGTAAGGCTTCTTTTGTTTTGTGAAAATATGTGTTTTTTTCCTACAATTAGACTCTAGAAGGCAGATCAACTGTCTTCTTTGTTCTCTCCTACCTGCTGTGCCTATCAGAGCACTATATGCGTAATACATACACAACACCATTTGTTGAATAAGTTAAGCAATTTTGACATCTACCTATTGAAGCAGTTAAGCAAAAGCTCAATAAACTAGATCATTTGGGGCCTGGTCCTTTCTACAAGATCAGGATACCTCTGTGTGGAGGACTGCTGGTAGTGGCTGAGAGGAGCCCTATACAATGGTGAAAAGAAGGGTCCTAGCCATGGTTCTAACTCATATTTGTTTCCAGCTTCCGATGCTTACTCCCTTTATGCTAATAACACACAACAGAAAACATTTTCACTTATTCCTTCTCCTTTACCTTTTTTACCTCAACATTAATTTTGACTGCTTAAAACATTTACCTTACCCCATGTCTGCTATCTTCCATCCTTTGCCATTAGTCTGAGAACTATCTGAGAAGAGGGACTTTTTTTTTATTCCTTCTCTTGGCTGCAGTTTAAGAGTTGACCCATAGCGACTGGGTGCAGTGGCTCACGCCTATAATCCCAGCACTTTGGGAGGCCAAGGCAGGCAGATCACCTGAAGTCAGGAGTTAGAGACCAGCCTGACCAACATGGAGAAACCCTGTCTCTACTAAAAATACAAAATTAGCCGAGCATGGTGGCGCATGCCTGTAATCCCAGCTACTCGGGAGGCTGAGGCAGGAGAATGGCTTGAACCCAGGAGGTGGAGGCTGTGGTGAGCCGACATCGTGCCATCGCACTCCAGCCTGGGCAACAAGAGCGAAACTCCATCTCCAAAAAAAAAAAAAAACCACGAAAGTTGAACCATAATGGAAAAAAAGATTAACCAGATGACTTAAGGAAGAGCCAAGGTGATTAGAAACCCACATCTATTGGTAGAGTGGCACTGTTACACCAAGCTCTGTTCTGGGAACACTAGAGAAATGCAGAGCTCAGTGTTCTACAGGCACTGTGCTTACAGGCAAAACCTAAGCCTTAACGTACTCCTCGGGATAGTACCTGATAGGCAATATGCAAAAGGCTCTAGCATCTCTCACATTAGACCTCAACGGCTGCAGCCAGAGCCCTCAACTAAGTTGGATCTCTATGGAGTATCTTGTGCATATATGAGTTAAGGAAGCATCCTCTGGCATTTGGGGAGGAAAGAATCTAGAAATTATTTTTCCATTAGTTAGTGACTCTGAGTCAGATCCTGAAAGTACATAATAATAGCTAGCATGAGGAGGATTTTGGAAGATAGATGACACCTGGTTTCATCCAGACATAAAGAAAAAATAAAATGCTATGAAGGGGAATTATAATAATGACAAAGGTCATTATTAGCAGTGTAAAATGGCTACCAAGGGGGATAGCAATGCCCTCTCTCACCTGTCCATGGGACCTTAGTCATACATAATATACTATTGGTCTGGGCAGACTTGGCTGATCTGAGGTACCAATCTCATTTTCCTAAGATCTTTCTGTGCCTATAAGTGACCTACCAAAAAACATCTTGCCTGGGACTTAGGCACCATCTCCCTGACTTGGGGCACCACATCTCTGTAAGGACTCACCGACATAAGCAGGCACTTGTTTTCCTTGATGGAGCCCATGCAGCCCAGGAAGGCAACTACCATGATAATGGAGCCCACAATGACAAACACATTGCCCAGCGTGAGGGAGGGGAGGTTATGGAAGAGCACTCCGAAGTTGTTGTGGATCAGCAGGTAGATCCCAAAGCCCAAAATGCAGCAGCCACAGATCTGAAAGGAAGAATCCCACAACATCCTGAAGCAAAATGTGGTTCTTGGGTATCTCCTCATATTCTCACTTCCTTGAGATCAGAATCACTTTATTTTTAACTGGCTCAATCAGAGTCTCATAAACAATTTTTTTACCAAACTTTTCCATGCTTACATTGGATAGGCAATCTCAGCTTTCTCATGTGGAGACCTACTCACAACTCTTCCTACCTATTTCGAAATACCAAGGAAAGAGCACTCCTGTGAGCCGCACAATATCTTCACTATATATAGGTCTAACTTCCTGTTCCTTATCTTTTCAGTCACTCACACATGGCTTTCCCTGTGGAAACCATGACCATGTAGAGAAGATGTCCTGCTTGAGGAAGCTCATCTTGCTAGGCAGAAAACTAGAGAAGCCAAACTTATAATAATCTTCTCATATACACAAGTACCAACCTATCCTGTATCTGAAATTCAATTGCTGAATTTTGTACAGTGAAACCTCCCCGGAAAGGGTGACTTTCCTTTCATTCACTTATTGTTTCAAGGAATCTAAAAAAAAAGACAAGAAAAACAGAGGCACTCAATACCCAAAGCACACAGTCTCAGGTTTCTCACCTATATATATGAGCTATAAGTAGTAGTAAACTAAAGCCCTCAGAGAGAAACAGCACCTCCATTAATAACTGCACTAGTACCTTTCAATTTTGCAGGTTTATTCTGTGGCAGGAAGAGGGGAAAAATTATTATTCCTTTGTTTCTAGGATGGTTGTGCTGGACATGACCCAAACATGCATGCATTTTACCCCACACCAGCCTCTTCAGTAGAGGAGAGAGGAGAGCTTAGCTGGGGAAAGGTGAGCTTAACCATGCTCAGAAGAGACACACTTACCCAAAAGAGCAAGTTGAAGAAAAACAGGACATACTTCAGCAATTTCAAGCTACTCATGCCCATGCTGTGATATTCTTGCCCTAAGGAATAAGGAAGAAGAAATTAAGTTACCTGGCTCTGTAAGGTAGCCAGAGATCAGAGTGCACAAATGTTCAGGGATCTCTAGCATTACCTTGGGGTTGAGCTGTGGCTCTCCTCTGGAAAGTTTCCCCAAACTCTCCACTTTCCTAGTTTCTGAACTGAAATACCAACTGGCTCATCTTAGACATTCAGTTTTTGTCCAATTCAGTAAGTCAACAATGCTTAACATTGAATTAAGCACTGTAGAAGAAAATAGATCCATTCTTAGAAGAGGATGGGTCACAGTGACAAAGACCAGGCCAGTGCTTCAGCTCTATCTGCAGCATTAGCAACTAGTGTCTGGGCACTTACTTAAGCCCTTGAAGTCAGGGATGAACTGGTCAATCAGCCATCAAGAAAGCCAACAGCTTGATGGGCCAGTTTCTTAAATACTCTATGATTCATGTACATACTACATTTGATAGTAAACTTCTGCACATGAAAGTGGGGAGAACATAGCCATGCCTCATTTATTCTTTTACTGCAGAAACATTTATAATGTTTTCTGTTCTAGATGTTGCGGAAAACACAACTGTGACTAAGCAGTAGCTATCCTCCAGAAGATAACAGTCTTACAGCAGAGGTAAAACAAGCCAACAAATATGCAATGGGGAAGTAAAAAAAGATAGCAATGTAAGTTTTTTTTTTTTTTTCAACTAGAATATCATTTTCTTAGTGAGGACATCAGTTTCCAATGTCTGGTCCTCAATTCTAGAAATCCAGATACAGAATTTTGACCACCCCTCCCCTCCCCTTCCCTCCCCTCCCCTCCCTTCCCTTCCCTTCCCTTCCCTCCTTTCTCTCTCTCTCTCTCTCTCTCTCTCTTTCTTTTTTTTTTTCAGAGTCTCAATCTGTCACCCAAGCTGGAGTGCAGTGGCACAATCTTGGTTCACTGCAACCTTCGCCTCCCAGGCTCAAGTGATCCTCCCATCTCAGCCTCCCAGGTAGCTGAGACTAAAGGCATGAACCACCATGCCCGGATAATTTTTGTATTTTTAGTAGAAAGGAAGTTTCACCATGTTGCCTAGTCTGGCCTCAAACTCCTGACCTCAAGTGATCCACCCACCTCGGCCTTCCAAGGTGCTGGGATGATTACAGGCATGAGCCACCGTGCCTGGCCAGAATTTTGAATTTTCTGTCAGAGGTAATGATATTCTATAAAGTGACTCATTTTTAAAACTGTGCACAGGACTGATATTTAAAGCAGAATGTTGAGGCAGTGTTCCATTAAAATTATGCCTTTTCCAGTGCATGGGTCACTTGTGCAATCCATAGTATCTTCTTTGCAGTTTCAAGGTACCTGGGAATCACATGGTCTTGAGGGAATAGTTCATCCAGGCTGTAGATAACCCTGGTGAGCTACTTCTCTTCCACAATAAAGTGAGTTTCTCTGTTGTAAACACCAAAAACTTAGATCTATTTCATACCCTTTTCCTTTACTTTGTGCTTTTTTCCCCCTTTTTCTTCTTGTCTTACTCCTCAGGATTATCCTTAAATCTACATCATTACTTTAATAAAATTAAAATAAAATTAATTGGATTACAAATGCATTTGAATATATATCAAGAGTCAAATGTGATGATTTACTACCCAGGCTTTGAGGTCAAACTCGAATTTTCCTCTTACATATGCCATTAAACAGCTTTGTGAGAATTGGACACCAAACTTAACAGTTCTAGTCATAAGTTCTTCCTACCTATGTAAAACGGGCCAATACTTATCCCTCTTAGGGTGGATGTGAAGATTAAATGATCTTATCACACAGACTGTGATACAGCAAGACCGGTACTCAGTAAATTGAACCCATGATTATTTAGTCTTTTTTTTTTTTTTGACGGAGTTTTGCTCTTTCACCGAGGCTGGAGTGCAGTGGCATGATCTAGGCTCACTGCAACCTCCGCCTTCCGGATTCAAGTGATTCTCCTGCCTCAGCCTCCAGAGTAGCTGAGATTACAGGTGCCCGCCACCACATCCAGCTAATTTTTGTATTTTTTTTTTAAGTAAGGACAGGGTTTCACTATGTTGGCCAGGCTGGTCTCAAACTCCTGACCTTGTGATCTACCTGTCTCAGCCTCCCAAAGGGTTGGGATTACAGGCGTGAGCCACCGCGACCTGCCAATTATTAAGTCTTAAAGAACTATTCTGTTTATCAGGAGTGAATGATGAATTTGGGTGTTTCCCAGCCCTTTATCAGTATCAAAGTACTCAAGAAACAGTGATTAAAAAGAAAATCTTAAAACAACCAGGGGAAAAAAGACCTGTTAAGGAATAAGGAACAATTGTAAGGATAATAGCAGACTTCTTACTGGAAAATAGGCAAGCTGGAAGAAAGTGGAACAACACATTTAAAATACTAAAGAAAAAAAAAATTGTCATCCTAAAAATCTATAGCCAACAAAAATACATTTTACTAACTAAAAAAAGGACTTTAAGATATACAAAAGGTGAAAGAATTCCACACCAGTAGATCCATACTACAAGAAATGTTAAAGGCAATCCTCTAAGTAGAAGAAAAATGAGACCAGATGGAATTACAGATTTACACAAAGGAACAAAGAGCACCAGAAAAGGTGGCTACAGGAATAAATGCACAATACTTTTTTCTTTTTATTTAAATCTCTTTAATTTATTTTTATTTTTATTTATTTATTTATTTTTTGAGACAAGGTGTTGCTCTGTGACCCAGGCTGGAGTGCAGTGGCATGATCTTGGCTCACTGCAACCTCCGCCTCTCAGGTTCAAGAAATTTCCATGCCTCAGCCTCCTGAGTAGCTGGGATTACAGATATGCACCACCAAGCCCAGCTAACTTTTTGCATTTTTAGTAGAGAGGGGGTTTCACCATGTTGGCCAGGCTGGTCTCGAATTCCTGACCTCAGCTGATCCGCCTGTCTCAGCCTCCCAAAGTGCTGGAATTACAGGCTTGAACGACCGCACCTGGTCTTAAATCTCTTTAAAAGATACTGAACAGTTCAAACAAAAATAATAACAATATTGCATTGCATTAATAATAAATGTAAACGTAAACTTTATGATAATAATAGTGTAGAGGCTGGGAAGGGAGAAATGGAAGTATACCATTGGGAGCTTCTTATATGGAAGTGGTAACCTCACTTGAAGGTAAAAATCTTTAAAAATACTATATTAATCAAAAGAAGCCAGAAAAAGAGAAAAGGGGGAACAACAGATGGGAAAAATAAAGAACAAATAGAAAAATGGACAAATAAAAAACAAATATGCTAAAATCCCAACCATATCAACATCACAGTAAATGAAATGGTCTGAATACTTAAAATATGAAGCAGGAATAAATAGATGAATTATAAAAACAAGACCCAATTATGTTGCCTACAAAAAATGCATTTAAAATATAAAGAAGCAAATACATTTTAAAGTAAAACGACAGAAAAAGATGTACCATACTAACACTAATAAAAGGAAAAAAAGGCTGGAGTGTCTAAACTGGAGTTTGTTTAGACTAAAACAAACACTATTACAGAAAAAATCATCAAGGATAAAGAAGATTATAATTATAAAGGGACTGATTGAGCTAAAGAACATAAAAATCTTAAGCGTTTTTGCACCTAGTCAAAATCTGAAACAGAAATGAACAGAACTGAAAGAAGAAATAGACAAGTATACAGTTATACTTGAATAGTTCAATATCCTTCTACTGGAATCAGTAGACAGAAAAGCAGTAAATATTTGAACAACAGCACCAATCAACTTAAACTAACTGATTGTGATAGAACACTCCACCCCACAACAGCAGAATATACATTCTTTTCAAGGTTACATGAAACATTTACCAAGATAGACCATTCTGGACATAAACCAAGTTTCAATAAATTTAGAAGGAATTGAATTAGAAATCAATAACAGAAATATCCCTAGAAAATCTCTTCAAATTGGGAAACTAAATAGCATACTTCTAAACAGTTCATAGATCAAAGAAGAAATCAAAGAGAATATTAGAATTCTGAATTGAGAAAAACTTTAAAAACATGTTGAAAATGTGTGAATGCCACTAAAGCAATATTTCGGAGTGAATTTTAGTGCTAAATGTCTATAGCTGAAAGGAGAGTGGTCTCCAATTAATGACTTCCGATTGCATCTTGAGAAACTAGAAAAAGTATGACAAATTAAACCCAAAATAAGCAGAAGGAAGTAGGTAATAAAGATAAACACTGAAATCAATTAAACAGAAAAACAAAACAAAACAAAAAAAACCTCACAAAAGTTGGCTCTTTTAGAAGACTGATAAAATTGATAAACTTATACACAGGTAATCAATTTTAAAATAGAGAACAAAAATTATCAATATTAGGAATGAGAGAACAACACTATAAATTCTATAGATATCAAAAGGATAAGTCAATATAATAAATGACTTGATGCCAATACAACTTAGATGAAATAGATGAACTCATCGAAAGGCACAAATTACCAAATCTCTCTCAAGAAATAGATAACCTGAATAATCCTATCTCTAATAAGAAACTGATTTTGGAGTTTAAAAATCTTCCCATAAAGAAAACTGCTAGTCCGGATGTCTTATTGATGATTTCCACTAAATATGTAAGGCAGAAATAATACTGATTCTATATCAAATCTTCCAGAAAATAGAAAAGGAGGGTACAGTCTCTAGCTTATCCTGTGAGGCCAGAATTTTCAGTTACTAAAAGCAGAAAGATATTACAAGAAATAAAACCACAGACCAACATTCCTCAGAACAAGATGTGAAAATCATAAACAAGATTTTAGTAAAAAACATCTAACAATATAGAAAAATGATAAGAAATTATGAACAAATGGGGCTACTCTCAGGAATGCAGGGTTATTTTAACATTGAAAAAGGTACTTAATCATATTAACAAACTGAAAGAGAAAACAAATTATCTTCTGAATAGATACAGGAAATTTATTTGACAAAATTCAACATCTATTTCTGATAAAAACTT